TTCTTGAAGTTCCCATCCTTCTTCTTTACTTGTAATGCAGGGTTAGTCTTCTTCGATCCGTTTTCCACAAAATTAACCTTAGAGTTCAGCATACCGGCCAGGGACTTATCCCTACTGTCTCTAAACCGAGACTCTTCTTCAATACGAAGGTGTTGCTGAATTTGCTCCAAGGTAAGCTCTTCAGCCTTGTGTAGAAGCTTCTTCTTGTAATCCTTCCAAGAGGGTGGAAGTTTGGCAATGATTGCTCCCACTTGGAAAGATTCAGGAAGGATGATGTTAAGGGATCGAATTTTATTGACCTGTAGTTCATAAACTTGCTCTAGTATGGGTTTATGGTCGTTTATGGTGAAGTTAAAGTATTCTGCAATAAGATACTTATTCGTACCTGCTTTTTGCACCTTGTATTTGAATTCCAGGGCCTTCCAGATTTCTTTTGGAGATGTAAGTTCCTTGTAGAAGTTGTAGAGCCAGTCTAATAAGGCATTCAGTATGTGTCCTCGGCACAGAAGTGAGTCCTCTTCTCGTTTTGGTCTTTCCTTCTTTAGTTTCTCTGAGCCTTTGTCAGTGGGTTCAGGAAGTGATTGCAGTTTCGGGTTCAGCAAATAGTATAGCTTCAGTGTAGTCAGAAAAAAGATCATCTTGTCTTTCCATCGGCTGAAATTTGCTCCATCGAACTGGTCTAGTCGAACAAGATCTTGGTTCATCATCTTGATCGAAGTCATGCTTGCTTCCGCCTCCATTGTAGAATAACGTTCTAAAATTGTTGGAGAAAATGAAGTCACTGTAACTTTGGAGGAAAAGCTTTATGGCGCGTCTGAAGACACTATCTTTAGAACGTTATTTGCCCCCACTCAGTTTTATTGAGTTTGCTGTTGGGTTACATGCAAATTCGTTCCCAGGATACAATAGAGCCTTGGGCAAGAATCTGCAACCAACAAAGTTGAAGAGTCTCCAAAGAAACCTTCTGTGAGACTGTAGTAGACCGGACTGAGAGAGAGAGAGAGAGAGAGTGAATTTTGAAATTGTGTGTTTTGGAGTCTAATTCATGCTCCTTAAATAATTTGTGAAGAAGTATAAAGGAAAGGTAGGTGCTGGTTTAGACAAGGCACCTTGAACAGTCACAATTTCAAACATTGTGACTGTTTAAAAAGTAGTTAATAGTTAGTGACTGTTAATTTTGAATTGTGCCTCTTGATCACACCCGATCGAATCGTGACCGTTGATCTCATCAACGATGCGCCTCTAAAGCGCCTCATTGCGCTACACACACGTGTGTGCGCGCGTTGCGCGGTATCGAATCCCCATACTCTCCTCTACTAATTCTATGGAGTGTAAATCAGATTCTATTGAAATACTGAAAACAAAACTTATAATTTTCCAATATGAGAAAAGTTCAAAACTGGGTTTTGTAAGAGAAAACTGATTTTTCAATCAAGTGTGTAGGTACAATTTCTCATGTAATTGACCAATCAAACCCATTGGATTTAATCTCTTATGAGGTTAAAATCCAACAAGCAATTTAATGGATATATTCATACATTGAGAAGAACAATGTGTACTTGGATGGTGATGGTTTGTATAGTTGAGAGTAAGTCTAGCTTTGTTGTCCTATTCATAATATCTGAAAGAAATGTTTGTACTTTGTACATGCAGGGAGAGACATTTTTCTTAAAAAAGATGGACACGATATATTGGGAACAACAGCTGGAATAGACTGCATACATGTCTCGTCATTCGACAGAGCTGCACTCAACCATGTCTTTATGTTGCTCATCTTGAAATCAATGCCAGGTCCCTGCAGCTTCTGCAACTGCTCTAGAGATTGCTTGAGCTCATCAATGTAGGAGTTCCCAATTTGGTCGACGCAGTCCTTCACGGTGGCCGCCTCCCTAGTTTTCCGGTCACGGCGTTGTGATAACTTGGAGACCAAGGCTGATGTGGATTCGCTTGTTATGCTTATGTTTAGTGCTGTTTGAGCCAGCCTCCTAGGGCTGTCTTGAACGGAACTTGCAAAGGAAGAGGGAGAAGTGTAACAAAGCTGTGGGTACGTAGCCACACCACAGGAAGTTCGAATGAAGTCGGTGGTGTTGGGGTTGCTAGTGTTTGTCGCTAAGCAGGTGCAGGTCTTCATGTTTGATGAGCTAAAGACCATCAGAAAGAGAAAGGCTAAAAGAATGCAACAAGAAGATGGGCCTCTAGCCGATTCAGCTTCCATCTCTCTGGGTTTCAGAGAATCAGAGTTGTGGTGAACTGGTGATGGATGGATACAATGTAGAGCAGCATCCCCTTCTTATATATGATGGGAATTAATAAATAAATAAATAGTGATGGATGGAGGTGAATATACAACTTAATTAGCCGAAAAAGAACCCTGTGATTGGTGGGACAGTGATGGATTATTGATGATGAGTCGATGTGCAGAAATTAATCTGATCTGTATTTGGTACATGTATGATGTATTGTATACGTCTCTGACTTTGGATTTTCACGTGTGAGGTATTAATGCAAAAGTTTTGTTCAAGGTTGGAGGGGGAAGGGTATCAAAATTCATAAGTGCGTCATGTGCAGCACTCTATTATGTATATTGGTGGAGTCTGGTCAGTTGGTCCGCAGTGGCACTAATCCACATCTATCCCAGCCTGCAGGATTTGGTACCTTCGATTTTTACCAGCGACAACAGAGGCCTTCCTCCTATGGGGAACAAGTAGGGCATGTAGAGAGGAACCTTGCAGTACAAGAGATTGCAGAGAGCTTGGTTCAGATCCCACTGAATTTTTGTACAAATTAAGAATTTATTATGAGGCTTGAGCTCGGTTTGCCAAGGTTGTATAAGGCTCGAGCTCGAGCTCGATTTGAGGAAAAATATTTTATAAAAATAAAAAATTATATATAAAAAGTATTTTTTATTTGATATTTAAAAAATTAAGAATTATAATATTTTTATTATATATATATTATTTTCTATAATTTTATTATATATATATATATATATATATATATTTGAGCTCAACTCGCGAGCCTCACAAGCTGAGCTCTATTAGGCTCGAGCTCGGCTCGAAGCTTGATTGAAAGCGAGTCGAGTCGAGCTTTTCATGAGCCGAACTCGAGTAGCTCGTGAAAAGCTCGGCTCATTGCCACCCCTACCTGTTGGGGACCTTTCCTTCCTCAAATATGCTATGACCAAATCACTTTCTTGGAATTCGAAGTATTGACAATGAACATTTGCAGCTTCTTTGTATTGCTTATTTGCCTTTTCGAGATTCACTCTAACTTGCTATTGAATTTCATAGATGTGATTGGCAAGTTCCTCAACTTCTATACTACTCCTACCTGAATTAGGAAATGGTACTCTATCTAGTACATGACTTGGACTCCTTCCATAGACTACTTCAAATGGGGTCTTTTTAGTAGATCGACACTTAGAACTGTCATATGCAAATTCAGCTTGAGGCAAAACAAAGTCCCATTGGCAGGGATGATCACTTACTAGACATCGAAGTAAATCACCAAGAGAACAATTCACTACTTCAGTTTGTCCATCAGTTTGTTGATGGTATGCACTTATTGAAGTCGAGTGCCCATGAGTTTCCACAAAGTGTGCCAAAAATGACTTACAAATAACATGTCTCTATCAAAGGTGATGCTCTTAGGTACACCATGCAATTGAACAATTTCTCAAAAAAAATATGAGCAATATGAGAACCATTTGTAGTGTTTTTACATGCAATAAAATGAGCCATCTTTGAAAATCTATCAACCACTACAAAGATAGAATCAAATCCTTGTTTTGTTCTTGGCAACCCAAGCACAAAATCCAGACTTATGTCTTCCCATGGTTGAGTTGGAATGGGTAGAGGCTGGTAAAGTCCATGATTTTGAGTTTTTCCTTTGGCCCTTTGATATATCACACATTGTTGAACAAACTGCTCTACATCTCAGTTTAATTTAGGCCAAAAGTGATGTTCACAAACCATAGCAATGGTTTTATATCTTCCAAAATGGCCACCTAAGCCTCCACCATGTAGTTCTTTTATAACTTGCAATCATAGGGATCCTTTTGGAATGCAAAGTTGGTTTATTTTAAAAAGGTGACCATCCAAAATGTTGAATTTATCATTTTTCTTAGCTTTGCATTCATCCCATATCTTACCAAAGTAAGGGTTAGTCTTACAATTTTCTGGTAAAAGATCAAACCCAGTTATTTCAAAGGATAAAGTTTTCAAAAGACAAACATTTCGACTGAGTGCATCAGCTACTTTATTCTTAGTGCCCAACTTGTGATGAATTGCAAATGTATACTCTTGGAGGTAAGAAACACTTGGCATGTCTAGCATTGAGCTTTTTTTGAGCACTTAGAAAACGAAGAGCTTCATGATCATAGTATAGTACAAACTTCTTGTGAATGAGGTAACGGCGCTAAAAGCTTAAAGCCTGCACTATAGCATAAAATTCAAGGTCATAAGTGGAATAACGTCTCTTGGATTCATTTAGCTTTTCACTGAAGAAAGGTATTAGGTGTCCCTTTTGACTTAAGACAACCCCAATCCCTACATGAGATGCATCACATTCTACCTCAAATACTTAAAATTAGGTAAGGCTAGAATGGATGCTTCAGTGGGCTTTTTCTTGACTAGATTAAAGCTATCTTCAGCTTCATTTGTCCAAACAAAAATTTTGGACTTCATGCAATCAGTTACGAGGGCAATGATTGTACTAAAATTCTTAATAACTACCTATAAAAAGTAACTAAACCATGGAAGCTTCTCACTTCTATTATTGATTTTGGGCTTGGCCATTCTACAATAGCTTTGACCTTTTAGCCATCAACCTTCATACCTTGAGATGAGACAACATAGCCTAAAAACACTACGTTATCAGTCATGAAAGAACACTTTTAGAGATTAATGTATAGTTTCTCCTTGCGCAAAGCCTGCAACACTTGTTTCACATGGTTAATATGCTCACAAGGTGAAGATCTAAATATAAGAATGTCATCAAAATAAACAACCACAAATTTTCCAATAAAATGTCTTAAAATTTGATTCATTAACCTCATGAAAGTACTAGGGGCATTAAACAATCCAAAAGGCATATCTAACCAACCACTCATAAAAACCATCTCGTGTCTTAAAAGTAGTTTTCCATTCATCCCCGGATTGGATACTGATTTGATGATACCCACTTCTAAGGTCAATTTTTGAAAATACTTTTCTCCATGAAACATATATAACATGTCATCAAGTCAAGGAATAGGAAAATAGTATTTAACTATTATTTTATTAATCGCTTGGCTATCCATACACATCCTCCAAGTCCCATCTTTCTTGGGTGTAAGAAGGGCAGGTGCAACACAAGGGCTGAGACTTTCTTGAATAAATCCCTTATTTAACAATTCATGTACTTGTCTTTGAAGTTCAGCATGTCCTGTCGGACTCATAAGATAATGGGGTAAGTTTGGTAAAGGGCTACCAGGAACTAGGTCAATACGATATCGAATATCACGCATAGGTGGTAGTTCACTCAGGTGTGATATCACTAAATTCGCTAAGGAGTTTTGTTAAACATGTAGGTATTTCTTTCTTCTTTTCCAATCTAATGGACTCATGAACTACAATGGCATAAACAATAGAACCTCCTTTGCAAGTGTCCTCAAATTGTTTAAGGGATAAAAGACTACAATTTTCTTCTAGTCACTCTTGAAGGTATTTCCTTCAAAGGAGTCAAAATATACTTTACTCCATTGAAAAAAAGGGAATAAATATTTTTCCTACCATCATGTTGGACCTTTCTATCATATTGCCAAGGACGCCCAAGAAAAAGATGGCATGCATCCATGAGAAATACATCGCACCAAATCTCATCATTGTATTTTCCTATTGAGAATTTTATTAAGCACCATTCATTGATTGGAACTTCACCCCCTTTCATAAACCATGAAATTTTATATAGTTTAGGGTGTTTCACACATTTTAATTTTAGTCTTTCAACCATTTCCCTAGCCACCATATTTTCACAACTCCCCGAATCAATTAGAATTAAACACTTCTTACCATAAGCAATGCAAAAAGTATGGAAGATATTACTACGCAACCATTGGTCATCTTCCTTACTTTTAGGGGCAGCCAAAATTCGTCTAATTACAAGACTCTCGGCGCCACTATCTGGGTCGCATAATTCCTCATTAGCTTCATTTTCATCTTCTTCAGTAGGGATAATTTCTTCATCATTTTCATCAATTAAGTTCAGTCGATTGCTAAACTTCCAAGAAGGACATTCATAAGGCAAATGCCATTTCTTTCCACACCAGAAACACTCACTTGTTCAGGCTTCATTACGACTCTTTTCATGTTCCTTCAAGCCCTTCCCATTCTGTTGGTTGGGTTGATCAAGTGTTTGGATCATTATTTTCCTTTCTCCAAAAGTTGTTTTCTCAACTTGCTTAAGGGAAGCCCTTTTTAATTTCTCTTCCGCCTTCGGAGCCATTTGGTAAGCTTCTTCAAGACTACCTAAGTGGTGTAAAATTATTTTATCTTGAATGGATAATTTTAAACTACTTAAATACCTTGAAACTAATTCATCATCAGTTTCTCGTAGATTCACCCAACTTAAATATTTATAAAATTCTTCAGTATAATAAAATACACCTTGATCACTATTTTGGCGGAGATGATGAAACTTTTGATAGAGAGTTTGAGAATAATCAAAAGGGAGGAACTTCTCGTCTAATTTTATTTTCATTTCGGCCTAAGTATTAACTCATTGAATTCCTCTTCCTTCACTATTAGAGACTTACGATGGACTTCGTAATAAAGTTCATCACATGATCTTTCCATGTGATGAGCTTTGTACTTAAGGTCTAATCGCTTCCTCATCCTTATGCTTATAGACTCTATCTGATGGAGTTTTGTTGTAACTTAAATTAATCTCTTAACCTTGAGTGTTGTACACAAACTCAAACTCTAATAGCTATATTGTACTCAATTTTTATCTGGACATCCATAAATAGTCCAAGATTTGATCAAATTAGTCATCGAACCGTTATACCCGTTCATCTTGAATTCTCTCTACTGTGTCTTCATATTTCTCTAACATGGTATCAGAGCCATGACTCCATGGCTTCCAACAGCGACATAGGCTCAATTCAGAATTCAATTCAAAGCTCTCAGTCCAATACTTATCATTCTAGTGGTATGAGTTCTTCTTCAATTTCGACTTCGTCACATTATCTCTTGATCAAACTAACAGAAGAAAACTATCTGTTATGGAAAGCACAACTACTTCCGGTCTTCTATACTCACAAGGTCATCGGTATTATTGATGGATCGATCAAGGCTCCTCCAAGAGAATTGCTGATTCGAGTCAACCTAACAATATCGGGTACCAAATCTTTCCTTTGCTGAGTGGTTTCAGCAATACCAATTTGTTCTTAGTTGGATTATCTCCACACTCAGGGAGGGAATTTTCTCTCAAGTAGTGGGCCTTCATTCTTCTCATGAGGTATGGACTGCTCTTGCAAAATCTTTTTTTGCATATTCCCGCTCTCGCATACTTCAGATGCGCAGACAACTGCAAAGTCTTAAGAATGATACTCTCTTTATTACTAAGTACATTAGTCAAGCCAAATGTCTTTCTGATAATTTGTTTGTTGTAGGCAATCCTGTTAGCTCTATAGATCTTATACTTGATGTATTAGCTAGACTAGGTCCAGAATTTGAAACGGTTGTTACCACTAAAACCAATCGGCTTGATATAGACCAACTAGGCATCAATGATGTCTTAGGAATTCTACTTAGTCATGAATCTTGGATGGAACAGCATCATACCCAATCTCTGACCCGAACCAATCACACTTCCTACAAAGGAAAAAGCCAGTCCTCCCAAGAGCAGAACCGGAATTTCTCAAATACCCGATGCAGAGGCTACGGTCGGGGCGGTGACCATTTCAATGATAATGGAGGTAGAGGTTGTGGTCATTCTGTTAGACAGTTGTATGCCCTTAGCTCCAATCAGAATGATGTACATTATGGCATTTATTGTAAATGAATAAAGTACATATTTGATTCATGTTCTTGTGGTGTGTTTCTGTGTAATACCCTTAAACTTGACACTTAATGAGACTCATGTTAGTTTAGAATGTTCATAGCCGTTGGATAAGTCTGGGGAGATTTATCCTGCTAAGGCTAACACTGGTGTGCCACCAAGTGTTGGGGTGGCCTGTCTCAGCTGCTAGGGTGAGACCCGAGTCACATGCAGTGTAGGTTTGCTTAAAACCCTAAACTGGACTAGATTTCCAGTATTGCCCTGGACCTTTGAGATTAGTGGGCAAAACTGGAAAGTTACACCTGACCCCTAGACTCGATTATGATACTGCACTAGGTGTCGGATTGGGCTGTCTTTGATATACCAATCAGTGAGATCCTTAGCGGGGGTCAAAACCTGGGTATGTTGGGACAGTCTGAGAATTCATCTGAGTGGGTGATCATAGTGACAGGATCAATTCCTTTGTCAGACAAAGGTAATGATCGGGGATGCACTCTCTCTGATGGAATCCAAGACTACCGACAGCCGATTTCAATCGTTGAAATTTGTTTTGCAAAATATATTTTATATATGGATATAAATATATATTATGGTTTGAAATTGTTTGCAAAAGGTTTTAATTTCCGAGATCCATGTGAGCGGAGAGTGCAGCATTGTTCCTTGCAGCCGAGGGAGAGGTCATCTCTTGTCGGGCARTGTWTGATCATTATGGGCTGAGAGGTTAWGTGTAAGACCATTGAGGGTAATACCTGATGGGCTAATCTTGCATCTGCTCACAGTCCCTGAGTGTTACAAGGTGGCTTGGCCCAGGGACCACTTAGTGTAAGCATTGGGCCCATAGAGTTCATGTGATAGGCTTAAGGGGTTCACTGGGCTTTCTAGTGAATTCAACTAGGCTTTGTAACAAAGGCTGGGCCAAACCCTTGTGGCTGATGTGTAGATCAATGCTTGGGTCCCATGCCATACAAGGAAGCCCAATTGGACAGCAGTTTGGAAAGATAAGTGAGCACATACACTTATTGAGCCTAAAGCCCATTTCGAACTGGGTTGATTTGATCTGTTAAATAAATGGGCTTATCTTATATTAGATTAGCAGATAAGATAGGTTCTTAACCCTATCCACTCAGAGAGTCTAGATCTAAATAAGATTATTTAGATCTGGAAACCTCCTAATAAGATTGAAAGAGGGTTGATCTAATCTGCAGATAAGATAAGGGTCAATCCTTATCACTTGAATGGAATTCAGATCCAAATATTTTGGATCAGCAACTCCTAATGAGATTATGAGTTGATCCCTTTAAGTTTATAAAATTAGGAGGGGGCGGCATCCTCTTGGCATCACAACATTCTCACCTATAGAAAAGAGAAAACAACTTCCAGTAAGACTGTGC